AATAATAATTCATATTTGAAAGAGAAGTTCTCGAATTAATATGTCGTCGAGTTAATATGTCAATCGAGTCCGAAAGAGTCGGTTCTCGATGACCAATACGATCATTTCGAGTGAATCCTTAAGAATCCCAAACGATTCCGTAATCGCGAACAAACCGGATCAATCGACTCACTAATAAGATCCGACTCAAAAGAGTGATTCGTTCGCGAATCGGACACCGCTGTAATGCGCTACGAAACCAGCCCCATCCGTCCCAAGTTTGTGTTATAATTCGATAACCGCGTTTCCTACCGCGTTCGAGCAAGTTTGTACATACATGTGAGCGCCGTACAGTTGTCGCCTTTGCGTTAGATCCGATTGCAGTGCAACTGATGCGGAAAACGAAGAGAAAAAGTGTCAAGAAACCCAAGTTAGCAAACCAAGGCTCGTCTCGTTTGGCCTACATTTCATGCACGGCCCAAACAAGAGACAGAACCATAACAAAGCCGAGTCAACAATGCTGCTTTACGGCCAAAACAAAGAAAGATCCTTCTACTAAACCCCGCACGAATCTGAGTTGTTTGTGCCAAAGCAGCACGTAATGGCTGTAGATCGAGTAAGCATCTGTCTTTGTGTCAGTGCGCAGAGCGGTGGTTAAAATACAGGGAAAAAAATAATGTTACAAACCTCTCAGACACTCCGCATCACAGACATAGAAACACGGTACGATTTGTGACCTGAGTGAGTCGTAGAAAGGATTTTGTGCGAAACGAGTGAACTTTTGAGCCTTTCTCTACAGATAAGGGGTGTTTTTCTCTCTCTCGTCTCTCATAGCGCTGTCTGCGCTTCAGCTCTATGCAGGAGCACTGCGCATGCGCACACAACTTCCTCTCAAACCATCTGTTCTAATAACAATCGCAGTTAGTTAGCAGCGTACACTAAATTCTAATGGCTAGAAATGCGATTTACCACTACTGATGGGAGTAATTATCCCGTTTTTTAAATTAGGCCAGCTTCCAAGACTCCGATAAGACATGCATCTACATTTGAGTACTTGTACATTTTATGAAGCATTGCAAAGTTACTCTGAACTGCGTAGCCACTAGCACTTCCCATAATGTGAGGCCAGACGCGAACCTACATTAGATAGATGGCAGATATAATAGATTGAATCTATAATATACTTATGTATTTTAATCACATGCATATAAACAGATACTACTGTGATTTAAGTAGCCTAGCTAAGATTTACATAGAAACTTGAAGAAAATAACTCTTCCCTCAGATTTGTGACAAAATAAAGTTACTCTTTTGGGGAAGTATATATTTATGACTGGGTATAAGCATGATATCTAGTTCCCCCTTCCCCACATAACCAAACTTAAGTGTCACTGCAGGTTGACTAAAATTATATATTTTTCCTACTTCATCATTATAAACTCGTGGCATGCTGATCGTATCATGTCTGTAAGACGGAATGAAATACCCCACGATATATATCATCCTTTGATATCATGGGAGAAGATAACAGTATTTTTGCAGGGGCTGTTGTAATGGTAATGATCCTCAACAAATCCAGGCTATCACTCAATGAAATATGAAAGGCATCCTTTAAGCCAAGGGAGATATACATGGAAATAATAACAGATGAAAAAGTGACTTGCAGATTTGAATGGTTTAAAAAAAACTATTATTTCTGTTAAAAGATATGAGCTCATCGTCTGTGAATTAAAAGCCGTCTCACTTGCTTCATTACCATGACAAAACCTGAGTCTCAATGCCCTGTGACCTGCTGCATGGCACTATCAATGTTTGAAAGTAAGAGGATTATCAACTAAATGAAAAAGATGAGAGTGGCTGAATTGGTATTTGTGTGGAAAAATATTCTATTATCAAACGCAGAGAAAGTTTAATAAAAGGCTTTTATAATTCAGTGTCAGTGGTAAAATTTAGATCTGGATTACATGTACAACAGCCTTGCATACAAATCATTATATTAAAAAATACAACAGGGCTTTGTTTACAATAGGGATCTTGGTTTACTATCTTAAAAAGAAAGGTTCCAAAAGGGGGGTTTCGCAGCAATGCCATTGAAGAACAATATTTGGTTCCCATTCCATGGATGTTAAAGGGTCTTCATGGAACAGATGCCAATAAAGAATTTCTAAGACACTGTACACAATATGGTAATGGTCACAAATTAGAAGTACAAAAAGGGGATTTGTAAAGAAAAATGTTGGATTTCGATATAAGCCAAGAGGAGACTGGCTTTCCATTGCTGTAAACAAAACTTGGTTCTCGTGAGACAAACATATTCTCACTGGAGCTTACAATACGCCCTACATCTTTTAAATATAGATATTATTC